GTATTTATATTTTTCAAACTATCATAAAATGTTTAAGATGAAAACTAAGTCTGAACTTCGAATCATTTCCAATAGTATAACCTCTAAGCGAAAAATACTTTTCAAATAAGAAACAAATAAGTAACAAGACAAGTAGATTTTAGAACTTGTATGTCAGATATATTTCAAAAGTTCAAACAAGAGAGTGAGGCGAAATTAAACATTCCACAGCTCTTGGAAAAAGATCCAGTACCCAGTTCAAAAGGTTTGGTACCAGCTGCTTAATTGTGGCAATTTTTAATCCTACATTCAGAATTTAAAGGAATATTTTTCAAAGGTTGTATCTTTCGGTATTGCTGAAGAGGCATGTACAATTTGCGCAAGAAAAGGAGGAGACACTTCTATATCTCCCGTTCTACTGAGACGACTGACGAAATTGACTTTGCGTTTTTCATGTCTCGAAAGCGCGACATAGGATATGTATTATATTATATATAACATTGTTGTAACATAGGTATTTTGACACAAAATCGAAGTTTGTCTCAAATGATATTCCGATTTTATTGCATATTCGATTTTACGACTCAAATTATTCCTAAACAATAAATTTTGTAAAATATGGTGAGAAACTTAGCAAAAAATTCAAAAATTTATCTTGGCGCAATTTTTTCAGTTTCCGCCAGGAATAATTCACTTGGCGAAATTCTTGGTTTACGGTAATCTATTTTCTTTCCCCTTCTTTCATTGTGCACGAACGGGAAAAAAGTTACATTATTCATTCTTTCAAATAATTTTAAAAAACTGCGTAAATCACATTTCTCGTTATTATTGCTTTTAACAAAGGTGTCAAATTTCAAACCGCGCCAATATAAAAAATTACGTATATCTGTGGATATTTTGAATAAAAAAAATCGAATTTTTCACAGGTATGCCTAGAAACACATTTACTTTAAGGTGATGGTAACAATTTTGTAGGATATAATTCAAAAATTCTTCGAAAAATTTATAAAATTACTGAAAAATACAAATTTTAAAAATAAATCAGAAAATATCTGGGAATTTTATTTGCATTGAACGTATATTTCGGGGTGTGAAAGAATGAGTTAAATAAGTTTAATAAAAAAGAGATAATATCACGATTTCTCATTCATCACGTCACGTGCCAGAATACGCCGCCTGCCTTCCCGGTGAACACTTGCTTCCCCCCCCCTCTGCAGCAGGTCATATACAGGCTGATGTTGCTGGTATTGTGCTTTAGGAGACGTTCTCATGGGCGACTTGAGACCCTTAATTGTGAGAGAACAGTCCATGGACTATCTGAACATAACTGTGAATGAGTTGCACCCTTACGTGATGTCTGTGTTCCTAACTGGAAATGGAATCTTCCAGCAGGACAACGCCCACTGCCACAAGGCTCGTATTCTGTTGTAGTGGTTGAGGAGCATAAGGATGATTCCAGTTAATGTCCTGGCCACTTAACTCACCGATTCTTAATCCGATAGACTACATTACGGATGTCATGGAGCGGCAGCTCAGAGCTCAAATACCACCATGTGGAAATATCTCTACTTTGCGTGACCGCTGCTTAAGGGCCATTCACCTGAGCTAACGGAGTCAGTTCCGTGTGTCTACTAGCTCCGCTGTAGCTGCAGTTCAGATTTTTCAGCTCGCTGCGCTGTGGGGGAAAATTGGTTTTGGAGATGAGTCGACTATGTCCGTTGTCTCCGTTATCCCAGATAAACCGGTAGTCTGAAAGGCCCTTTAGAGGTTTGGTACAACCTGTCTCCAGTCACCTACCAGGAACTTATCGGATCCATGCCAAGGCGAGTTGCTGCTGTATTGCAAGCCAAAGGTCCTTTAAAGCGTCATTGATTAGGCAATCATAAAGTTTTGTCTCTTCAGTGCACATGTTTGTTCAAATCGACAGTCAGAATACATCAAAAAATCTGAGTACATATAAGTAGTTTTCTATGATACGTGATGAGAAAGTCCAATTGATTCATTAAAGATCTTAAAGTGTAATTTGTCCGTTGTTTATTAAACACTGGGAGAAATATCTGGTATAATAATGACAGCTTGTGTGCACTAAGCAAATAGATTTCTATAAATTTTATTCATCTTTTATAATGTTTGAAGAATTTAAATTATGCCCAAAATTGTACAACTGATATAAAAAAATGAACAAAATCTGAAGTTGGAAAAGTAAATTAACTGGAAAAAGAAATATTAACTTATCAGGTTCTATGTTCCTCCTTACTTGCTTTGGGAACATTAAATGACCTGACTCGGAACAGGGAGCTTACTAAAGCTATGTTCAATAAATGTGGGAAGTAGACAAGATACACAGGAAGGGTATACGAAACCCTTTATTTTTCTTTCTTTACAATGATTTCCGGACTTCGGAATACAGAGACCAACCACTTGTGGTCTGAACGTAAGAATATAAAAATATTAACTAAATTCTAACTAAACTAACTTTGGATTAATAAACAAGTGTCTACTTGAAGATTGGCCGTATATTAACAGAAAGGCCGTATGTAGTACAGAGAACTGTTAACACTACGATACGTTTAAAATTATCAAGAGGATTAAACCTCTGGCCTTGAAGGCAACCAGCAACCGAGTAAAACTGCTATGGCAAGCGGCCTGCTCCTAATCACTCCTTCCTCTCTCTTGCTTGGCAAAAAGCCACAACTTAAGTACTTGGCGTTCGCAAGACAAATTTGCATAAATAAGTTAAAGCTTTTAATTTTGGCCGGAAGTAGAAAATAAGAAGTGATAGTAAAGATTTAAAATAAAATAAACGTTAGTAAAAACTTAAGATCCTTACAAACTGATAAGGACAAAATGTTGGCGTCATAGGTGGGACCTCTAAATCCATTTGGGAGAAAAAACAATTGAATTAATTAAACAAAAAGTTAATATGTGTATGAAGTACAGAATAAATTCATAACAGATTTTAAACAAAAATTAAAAGAAACTTTGTTTTCCAGTATTAATACGGCAATTAACGTTTGACGGAAAAATTCAAGTACTCGTAGTTGTAAACAACAATCAAGGGATTATTTTTCATCAAAAATTGTGTACAATTTAAGAGATTCTGTGTGCGATTTAACCCTCTCACTGCGTACTTTTTTTTATCAAAATATTTTCAAAAATTGAGTATATTTTTTATTACATATTTCAAATCTACATATATTTTAAAGTTAAAATATACAAAAAATTTTTGTAAAAGAGTTTTTGTTTTATTTATTATTTTTCAATATAGAATTAGATCATAGAAAAAGGTTGTCAGAATACTGAAATTGAAGAATAATGATATAAAAGGAAAATTTTGAAAATTAATATTGGTTAAATTATGATTTATTTTATAAAATTAAAAGGTAAAACATATATACTCATGAAAATATGTGCATAATGTAATACTTTGCATATCAATTTTGTACCACTGTCGAACGTTTTCAATAGAAACTGAATTTTCAGATTCATCAATCACTATCTGCAGAGGAATCCGAGAAATTCTCATCAGTTTCGCAATAACTATCTTTAACATACTTGAAATCAGATTCAGAACTGCAATCAATGTCGGAAATATCGTCAGGAATATAGGTTATATCACTCGCAAAACGCTTCCTGTCAGACATCTTTGAGCTCTGAAAAGCACGCACAAAATGCTACATTAGCGTATTTTTGTATATTTGACAGAAATGTGGACAACTAACGCCATCTGTTAGCCCACATCTAAATAAACAATTAAACATCACAGAAATGCCGAAAGGAAACCTTGAACGGAGAAACAGCGGGTTGCATAGTTAAATAGACGACAAAAATTCATCCCCACGGAAATCGCGGGTTGCGTATATTTTACTACTTCTACGTTGACCGTGGAAATCGCGGGATGCGCAAATCTTACTACTTCTACGTTGCCCGTGGAAATCGCGGGTTGCGCAAATTTTACTACTTCTACGTTGCCCGTGGAAATCGCGGGTTGCACAAATTTTACTAGTTCTACGTTGCCCGTGGAAATCGCGGATTGCGCAAAATTTACTACTTCTACGTTGCCCGTGGAAATCGCGGATTGCGCAAAATTTACTACTTCTACGTTGCCCGTGGAAATCGCGGCGCAAATTTTACTACTTCTACGTTGCTCGTGGAAATTGCGGGATGCGCAGTGAAAGGGTTAAATGTATACAATTAATTTAATGCGTACAATTAACAAGAATTCATGGTGCACACGTCAGATTTTTTTTTCCAAGTCAAATCGTACAAACGAAGTTTGTAGAATCACTAGGTTATTTTGAAACTGAAGACGCGAAAAATGAGCATTGCCCTCGCATGAACTTGAACCTGGACTTCTAGAATACGCGCCGAGTGTTCTACTGGTACACAACGAAGGCATGCAGAAAAGAGGGAGAAAATATCTTCTAAGTTTTTATACCCTTTTTAATATCATACTAGTTACAAGAAACCGTTGCTTTAGCAGAACTGCAGGTAAAAGTACCCGGTAATCCACAACAAGATGAACTAAAATGCTTCTTCATTAAAAGTTCTCTAATCCAGAGAAATAATTAATTTAAAAATAACATTCCGAGTATGTAAATTGCGCTGAAAATCAGCTGTAGATTATCTGGAGTGTTTGTTATGTATGTTACGGTGAAACACCGAAATCCGGAGAATGTCGGCTTTCACCGGGGAATGTCAACAATCACCTAGTCGCTTGGTGTAGGTCCGAAAATATTTTCCAAATACTCTTATTTCTGACTTACACCGGTGAATGTCGACATTCACCATGTACTAATGGTGAATGTTGAACATATAACAATATTATATTTTCTTCTCCGTAATTCAGTCGCGAAAAAAACGCACTTAAGAGTTAAAATAAGAACTTAAGAATATAAGAACTTAAAACCCACGGTACATTCAAAATGAGAAAGGAAAATAATAGAAGTTAAAAACTTACTTAATTATAGAGTACGTTCTAAATGAGAAAATAAAATAATAGTAATAAAAAACTTACTAAATTATGTGATTCAAATCTTATTTATTGCAACAATTTAAACTATTATGATACTTTATGACCTCTCTTTTGGACCGACACCAGAACATATTTGTGACTGTCGACATACACCGGTGAGGGTCCGAATGTTCAAGAATGTAATGCAATATTCGATCTTTCACCGACGTATTTGGTGAATGTTCACATTCTCCGGTGAAAGCCGACATTCTCCAATATCGGTCTTTCACGGTAACAGGTATAACACTTGTCTCAAACTGATGATTCTCGGGCAGAATACGGTCCTCGAAACAATGTGGAGTAGGCTGCGGATACATTTCATGTATTTGTTGCAAATAAGGATGTTGCAAAAATTTAAAAAATTTAAGTATTTGTTTGAAATTTAATGCCATTTCAATAATTACAATAATATGGTAATAAAATTTTTCAACGTATTTTACTTTTGCGTATGTCAATTAGTTTCATATATACCAATATATTTCTAGTCTTTAAAAGTTTCTGCTAAGCTATTTTTTTCATTAACATAATTCAAATATGCGTAAGCAAGAAAGCCTATCAATAAGCTTCCTCCAATTATTCCTAGAATAATCAAAACGTAAGTAGGTACAGGTCCTGAGCCGTGTTTCGTGTTGTAATTGCGGTATCGATAATGATGGTAAGATTTGCCTCCACCAGTTCCGATTTTGTTCTTTCCTGTTTTGCTGCCTCCACCACTTCCGATTTTGCTCTTTCCTACTTTGATGCGTCCAACTTTAATGGCACCATCCATAACTTTGGTCTGTGACTTGGGCCATGCTTCATCAGATGTGAATTCTGAAGAACTCTCTTCTGTTTCGTTGCGGGTTGAAATGATTCTCGTGTCATTTTCTGAAAAAAATTTTTAAAAATGTAGTAATTATAAAAAAAAAAATCTTTCAAAACTGCATACTGCATTTTCATGCATAATTTTCCCGTAGCATTTAGTGACAAGTTTTAAAAGTATTTGTGTAATTTTTACCTTCCGAAATGCGTTCAGAAAATGAGCTTCCCTGAATTTTAAAACGCATTCGTCTACACAGGGACTCTATTCATCTTGCATAAGCTACTTGCGAAGGTAACGCCCATTTGTTTCCGAATTGTTAAGCTTTATGCCAGTCTACAGTAAAAGACTTGTAAAAACAAAGCCAGCACGAACTGACATTTATTCTAGAATTTCGCTGCGACAGCTGCACACTCACCTTCTCCACTTACACTGGATATCATTAATTAAGGAAAAATCCCAAAAATTAAGATTACTCAAAATGTTACATGCAGAATTCAATGAAACTGGTCCACAATATATAACATATAGTAAGGTATAAAAAGACATAAAAGGAAATTACCATACAGTTATGGCGTTATATAAATTAGCATTGTAGAGACATTAGGTATATTTTTGGAAGTAGGAGAATTGGAAAATTAGCAACCGCCTCCGCCGGGAATCGAACCATGGACCTCTGAAATACCGGCTCAGTGTACTGACCACTACACCACGAAGGCACGCTAAGAAGACGGAAGAAATGCTTTATAACATATTTATATAATGAACAATTCAGACGTCAGTTCGGCATAGGAAATTTGCATTAAATATGTAATATGATCTCCCCTAGAAGCAACACAGCAAATACAGGTGACTGCAGGCCTGGACACCCGCACGACTTTGCAAAAGACTACTCGGGTAATGTCCAGGACCCGCAACTATCTAGAGAGTAACCTCATGGGGCCACACCAACGTACCACACCGGGCTCCCAGACCCAGAGCCTAGTCCATGCCACTTGCAGTTGTGCCTATCGAAGGAGGATTGCCCACCTTCTGCACCGACATCCAGCCGCCCAGGCCTCAGTATTTATTTGAACTAGTAAAAGAAGATACATGGCCATACAAGGGCTTGATGGCTCTATATGGTCTTCAATACTTGGAAACATACACATTGCCATACAAGGGCCAGTGCAGGTGCAATACATTTAGAGAGACGTATTACATTAGTTTGCTATTAACATTTGACATAGGGATACACAACAAATACAGGTGACAGGTGACAGCAGGACAGGGCACCCGGACGGCTTTCTATGACTACTCGGGTGTTACCCTGGCCCTGCAACCATCTAGAGACTTCACAGTTGTAAGACGCTTAACAGATGTGTGCTTAATACATGTCACGTTACATCTACAGTATTATATGTGCACTGTCCATTACTGTGCTAATAGCCTTGAATGGCACGTCGGCTCGTGGATAACTAAAAACAGTTACATTTCCATACTTCGGATATACATACCATTGCTGTCCTAGCTACTTTAATAAGCTCTGAGAATCGTTATGCCAGTTGTGTTTATTGCATGTGCCCTATTCCGGCCTGCAGAGGTCTATGCCCATTTTTTCTAGCTTGTCCATTATGCTTTTAAGCTTTTGCCGCGTGCCTCGATGTTTTACGAGAAGGCGTTTGAAAGGCACAACATTGGTGGTTGGGAATTTGATGTGCTATTCTGCTGTTAAAGGGCACTCCGTGACTTAGTGGTCTGGTGAGCCCAAGTTGTCACAGACACACATATTAGTTGTTGCTAGACCCCTTTCTGCAAAGTATGTCGGAAAGGGGTCTAGCAACAACTAATACAGTGATGTATGATGTTGTCAATTACGCGGTCTTTCAGTTATGTATGAAGTGAAAGCCATTGCTCTTGCAAAACTGTTGCAACCATCGCGGGGATCCAAAGAGGATGATTAAGAGTAGCTCTACATCTTCATGGAGCTTTTCGAACATGCTCGATATTATTCAGGTCCAGTGATTGAGCTGGCCCCTCCATGCGCTGAATTGCTTGTTGTTGAGGATAATCATCCGCTATGCGAGCCCTATGCGGTCTAGAATTTCATCCTGTAGCAGGAAATCGTCACCTATAGCTCCGCATAAGAGTCACGTAAGCATCAAGGATGTCATCTCTTTAGGCCTGAGCATTCACGATTCCACGTGGAAAGACATGGAGGTCTGTGAATCCACCCAGAGATACTGCTCCAAACACAGACACTGCTTCCTCCGTATGCATCTCTTTCAAGCATGTATGACGGATGTCATTATTACCAGGTTTTCTCCAAATCACATAACGCCTACTATCGCTTTGGAATCTAAACCAAGACTCATCGGTAGAGAAAGGTAACCCGTCCTTTCTCTACCGATGAGTATAGAGAAAGGTAATGGATTGACGCGCCCAAATGAAACGTTCCCTTCTATCACATGATATTAGCTGCACGCAAATGGCTGATCTCCTTGCGTACAGACATCCTTTGTGAAGCCTTCTATGCACGGCTGACGTCGACACCAAGCTTAGCTGCAGCAAGGGAGAATCTGAGATGAGTCGGAGTTGGGGTTCTATTCCTTCGTTCGCATAACAACAAATATCGGTTATTTATTTATTATCGGTTAAATATTTCAGCCAAGGACGGGCAGCTGCCCGTCCTTGGCTGAACCTTCTGGAATGCCGAATCTGTGTTTAGAAAATATTCACAAAGTCTATAAATAACAGAAGTGCTGACATTTAGCCATCTGGTCATTTCTATCTGACTTGCCCCGCCTTTAGTCTCCCGAAAGCTTTCAGTCGCAGTTCTTCGGCCAAATGGTGCGTGGAGTTCATTATTTGGAATTGACTATCTCAGATTTCTTACGTCGGTAACATAGCGAAATTTGGAGGCTTGCTCTGAAACATGCAATTTTGTGCTCCTCACAGAGACTCTTCACTGACTGCGGACCATCAGGGTTTATATAGCTTTCAGCTTGTGTTCGAGAACATTCTGGGCTAAACCGGTAAGAATTCTTTCCAGAAGGTTCTCCATCCAACCATGGCATATCGCCAATTATGTCGCCAAATGGGCGATTTCGTGCCAGTGGATGTTCAAATATGGCAACCCTGCCTTCCCTTGCCATTTTTGGCAACCCTAAAACTGTTTTGCGGGAAAGCCATCTTACCGCGCCTGGACATTTCGTAACAATACGTACACACACGTTAAAAAAATCACTTCTAAATTCATTTTAATTCCATTTTACAATCCTTTTTTGGCAAAAGCAGGTTTTTATTTTGCTCGTACGTGCAGATGTCACGCAAAAACTTAATTCAAATAGTTTGGAAAGCGGTTGAAGTAGACATTTTCGTTGAAATACGATACCCGAAATTCTTCGGGAATACAATACTTCGTACATGGAAGTAAAAAGGCAAGTGTATATGATCTTCCATTTGATGTAATTAGAGATTCTCTCCATCCTTGTGTACATAAATATTCAGACCATATTTTTCTGAATCACACGCATTCTAAATAATATTTTATTGATTGTGTTGTTATGCTCAGTATTCAACAAATTCCATTGATAAAATACTTAAGCTAAGCGTGCTAAAAAATAGAGAAGCAGGTTAGCATATTAATTTTACTCGTTTATGTCAGAATATTTAGAATTTTATATTAAAATTCAAATCGAAGCTCTTTCTGCAGATCTGGGATCTTAATTTTGGAAAGAGAAAATTTAGAAAGAGGATACGGATCAAAACAGAAGGGTTAAAACATGTATATATATATATATATATATATATGTGTGTGGTGTGTGTGTGTGTGTGTGTGTGTTTTAACACTTCTGTTATATATATATAATACACAATTCTGCTATTGGACACTTTGAACCTTATCGCATACTTTTTCCAAGACCTACAAATTTTTGCTTCTCCAGAGCAGATTTGAATTCTCCTTTGCAAGGAACACAGTTGGGTCGTTTTAAGGATTCAATTAGTTTACGTTAAGAAGATTCTTTTAAGGGGACAGTGGATGTTCAAATACTTTTTTAAATTATTGTCATAGAGATATGAAACTTTGCATGCATGTATATTACTATAGTTATATCAAATATCTTTGAAAAACTTTCTGGCTCATTGCAATTTAATTTTTTTAAACTTTGTTTTAATTTTTAAATTTTTTTAAAATGCTCCATGCGACTTAATTTTTTTTCTGTTTCTTGTTATTTTTGATTATGAAAAAGAAATTTGGATTTGAAATCCAATTTGTTCAAATGTACCTAAAATTTTATGTCGTGAAGAAAAGGAATAATTGCCAGAAATTTCCTGAGATCAAACTGTTAGAATGAATGTGTGTAATTTTTGCATAATGAAATTCTGCAAAGTCAAAAACAAAGGAGTGCCAATTAGCGAGAGAGGATTCTACTTATGTTTTGATGCAAGAAGTCTTAATCGTTTGCGACACAGTGTGTCCGGTCTGGACACACCTAAAAATTTCCTTCTGTACGCACAGAAAAATTGAATGAAAAAAGGATTTATGGGTTACTCTGAAGCTTCTTTATTTATAGTAGATGGCAGCTCAACACAAACCAGTCCATATATTTTAGCCATGTTTAGTTTTTTAAGACCCTCATTTTTCAAAGAAATCTTCCAGACATTTTTAGGGTATAAAAGGAATTGTTTGAAAATAAATTTCTATGTTATTTTTTGGATGTATGCTAATCTCCTTATTCTATATTAATTTTAAATTTTTACCTTGAAATCTTGCGTAAAATCAAACGAACCCTAGATGTGCCCAGACCGGGCTCACCGATAATCTAGGACAACTGAGAGTCTATATTCTTTGTTTCTCCGCATCTTATCGGTCAGTTCACTGACAACAATGCTCGTTTCAGCACTCTTTTCGAAGCTCTATTCAATCAGTGTGCCACTTTGGGCACACTTACAGAATTAGAACTATAAATGCTATCTTCACAAAATTTTACTTGTGTACTCCTCTAAACCTATTAAAACTGCCTACCTTTTTTTTTATCAAAAATCCGACTTTAAAAGGTAGCGTGCCGGAAAGGGTTAAAGGATTTTGTGCTAACGTTGTGTTTATGGTTTGGCATGGTACTTTTTTTATGGAATATACTCCTCGTAACATTGCTTATTAGGTAATCTTGAAGATATTTAAAGCTTATGAATATTTTGCAAGTTATTTATTTCATAACTTTTGCTTTAGATGTTTGTAAAGACTGTTAACTTTGATTTGTATTCTATTTGTGTTCTGTTTGAGTTAGGCAAACTCTCTAACTTGTTAAATATAGATTTCACAGGTATTCTATTTTATGATTCTTTAATAAAACTGTGTTAAATAGAGGATAGTGTACTGAATCGCCTTAACTGTGTTAAATGCACGCGATATCACAAAATCTAACTGAAGATTTCAAAACTAATACGTTGTTAACTTTTGGGTGAACCGAAAAAAAAAAAAAAGAATTTAAAGGCATTTCAAATAAAGCTATTAAGTTTTTATTGCCTTTTCGCACAACCTATTTGTGTGAATAAAGATTTCTTCCGTGTTATATTTAAAAAATAAATACAGAACAAAATTAAAAGTGGATCTTAGTTTACTGTTAAAACTAAGTGAAATAGACCATACATAAAGAGATTGATCTCTCTTAAACAGGTTCAAATTTCCCATTAAAATGTTAGAATTAAACTTTCGGTTACTAAAATGGAAGCCAATTTTTAACCTCATATTTTTTGGATGTGCACATTTAATACAAACAGCCCAAATTTTGTTTAGCTGGCACGCGTTTGAGGACCGCTGGTTTAGTGTGTTAAGTAATAACAGACAGATTAAATATGAAAGAATAATATCTTATATTTTTTCGAATAAAAGCAGACTCGAATGAAAAGTGAAAAAACGTATTAAAGTGAAAAAAATATTTGAAGAATGACAAAAAATATACAACATAATTCCATAAAATTATTTCATGCTTTTAATTAGACATATCGTAAATTAAATGAATATTTTTTATGAATCAGACTCAAAGATTAAAAAAATACTATTCATAATAACTGCATCTATTGCTTTTAAATAGCCTAGTTTATTCATGCCTAACAGACAGATTAAATTTGCAAACTAAATTTCTCTTATTTTTCCGAATGAATAAATGGCAACAGACTTAAATGAAAAGTGGAACAACTCCATAAGGTGAAGCAACAAAAAATTGCGTTTCGGGACTAAGAGGACTTTTAGGCTAAAAAAACCTGAAATCATCTAACAATAGATTTTGAAAAACGAATAGGGAAAAACTTAGCTAGATTAATTCAAGATTCTTTAATAAGTGGGACTATATTGATCATGGTACTAACTAAATACGAGTATACCCAACAGAATATAAATGAAGATGTAAGTTTAATATGTTCACAGATTAAATAAGCTTTTAGAGGGAAAAAAATAAAAACATACATCTAAATTAGTTCTGTAAAAGCAAATGCGGTGTTTTGATATCTCTACACGTTAAAGGCGCTCCCTCTACAGTTAATTTAATTTCTCAGTTTAAGTTGAATAATACTTTAGCCATAAAACGTAACACTAAAACGTCTCGAAAGGAATTTCACTAGATGAACTGAAGTTACGCATTTACATGAAATATACAAATCATAATGAAAACTCAATACAGTAATAATGTATTTAATTACTCTAACTTTGTGGTCTTCAACCCGGGGCCGCGGGCCATGGGCGGCCCACTGAAGGTATTTTAGTGGCCCCGCATCTGGATTTGAAGAATTTTAAGAAATTTTGATTTCAAGAAAAAATGCCTTGTCAGCTTTTTGTCGTAAAAAAACTTTTTTTCTCTTATTCTTGATATTCAAAACATTTTATTGACAACGCCTGATATTATTTGAGATAAAATTTTCTGAAAATGACAAATTTTTCAAAAATTTCAATTTAGCTTATGTAATTTATCTTATGTAATATGTACCAGAACTTCAATTAGAATTTATAGATTTACAGTGTGACTCTGCAGTAAAATGCAAGTTTCTTGAAAATCTTGCAGTAATTGATTTTTTATTGGAAGTAAGTGACCGAAGACAAGTATCCAGGAATTCGTAAACATGCACTCTTTTCATGTCTTCTGTCTTTGGTAGTACCTACATATATGCACAGCTTTTTAGTAAAATAAAAATCCTAAAATCAAAAACAAGAACACGGCTGACAGACAGACATTTGGAGGACACATTATGAATTGCTACAACACAGATTAAACCGAATATTGATGTTTAATCAAGCAAAAACAATGTTAAATTCCACTTAAAATTAAAGTAACTACCATCTTCTGCCAGTAATGTAATTTTTTTTTCTTTTTTATTGTAAATGCATTTTGTAGCATCATTCTGTACAATCATCTTTATACTTTTTTCATAGTTAAAAAAAGTTTTAAAACAATTTGATTCGATTTCCATTTTACTTTTTGGAACCAATGTATATGTTACGGTGAAACACCGAAACCTGGAGAATGTCGACTTTCATCGGTGAATGTCAGCATTCACATAGTCTCTTGGTGTATGTCCGAAATATTTTCCAAATATTCTTATTTCTGACTTACACCGGTCAATGTCGACATTCACCATGTACTAATGGTGAATGTTGAACATATAACAATATTATATTTTCTTCTCCGTAATTCAATCGCGAATAAACGCACTTGAGACTTGAAATAAGAACTTAAAAACATGAGAACCTAAAACACATAATACATTCAAAATGAGAAAGGAAAATAATAGAAGTTAAAAACTTACTTAATTATACAGTAAGTTCTAAATGAGAAAATAAAATAACAGTCATAAAAATCTTAATAAATTATGTGATTCAAATCTTATTTATTGCAACAAAGTAGTATTATGGCACTTTATAGCCTCTCTCTTCGACTTTCACCAGAGCATATCTGTGATTGTCGACATACACCGGTGAGGGTCCGAATATAAAAGAATGTAGTGCAATATTCGGTCTTTCACCGACGTATTTGGTGAATGTTGACATTCTCCGGTGAAAGTCGATATTCTCCAATTTCGGTTTTTCACGGTAACACATACATATGGAAATCTGTAACACTATCTTTTCGTTTAGAATCGATTGTAGTCTTGCAAAACAAACCTCCCTCTTTTCTGTAAATTTTCTGACTACACAATTTTTTGACAGGCATGTGGCCCGCCGATCTTTGTGAATTTATGGATGTGGCTCTCAGACGTTAAAGGTTGAAGACCCCTACTCTAACTGAACAATTTCGCAGTTTTATATAATTGTTTGCTGTATATAAAATTAAAATAATTTAAATATTTGATATGATTAGAAAAAATTAAAATAATTTGACATAAGTACCATTAGTAGAGTATCCATAACAACAGGCGTAGTATACCAGCAAACATAAGCACGCAACTAATAGATTGAACTTCGTATTTTTACAAAAATTAACCTTCATAACTACGCAATTTTAAAACTGCAAACGGTAGGAGAATTCAGTTTAATTCTAAATGGAGCTAATTTTTTAAGCAAACGATCTCGGAAGTAGGAGGGACATAAAAGATAAATATGCGTTGCAATATTTTCAATACATTCAGAAATAACTTATTACCTGTGACCTTGAAATGAACCCTCCTCATTTCTGTTGATAAAGATGTGACAGAATCACAGATAATCGTTTCGAGATACTAGGAGTTATTTAAACGAACATAAGCATACAAAATGAGCTGTTCTGAGTTTTATGTTTAAAATATTTGTTTCACAGCAAATAATAAGTCCTACTGTCAACATAATAAATCATATCCTTCTATAACTTGAAAATGTTTGTTGCGTTTCATAATCTTTCTTTTTTGTATGAAACGAAGGGATTTGGTGTTCGATTGATAATAAGTAAAGTGATAATAACGGGTAAATAATCAGACACAGAGAAGCGCATCATGATTATCGATGTTAATTGTTATATCTTGTTTTTAGCGTTTATTTAACGTTAAATGTAGAACAATAGCTGTTCGGAATTATAATTCTCTACAAAATAAATAGATTAGGTGCTCAATATTTCGTTAAGAAAAGTATCATTACTGAGATAGTAACCATATCGAAACAGTGTTTTGCAACATTAATAATATCATATGTCTACTTCAGAAAAGGAAACAATTATTATCGTGTCTTTGAAAATTACACTGAAAAGTATACATACGAATATCCAACAGTAGCATTTCAACAAAATTAATTCCTGCACTGGTAGCGTAGCGTCTTCAACCTTAAGGAATCAAAAGCATGGAATAGAACGTAAAAATTAAACGCAGAATAACCACCATACTACTAAAAATATCTTCATATAGAATTAACAACTAAAATATGAATTTGAAATCTAGAAATTGGTGAGATTTACCAGCGGTGCCAAAAAATAATTCATTATTACATACTTATTATACACTGAAGTGACAAAAGTCATGGGATACCTCCTAATATTTTGTCGGTCCTCCTTTTGCCCGGCGAAGTGCAGCAACTCGACGTGGCATGGACTCAACAAGTCGTTGGAAGTCCCCTGCAGGAATATTGAGCCATGCTGCCTCTATAGACGTCCATAATTGTGAAAGTGTTGACGGTGCAGGGTTTTGGGTACGAACTGACCTCTCGATGATGTCCCATAAATGTTCGATGGGATTCATGTCGGGCGATCTAGGTGGCCGGATCATTTGCTGGAATTGTGCAGAATGTTCTTCTAACCAATCGCGAATAATTGTGGCCCGGTGACATGGCGCATTGTCATCCATAAAAATCTTATCATTGTTTGAGTCCGTGAAGTCCATGAATGGCTGTAAGTGATCTCCAAGTAGCTGAAGGTATACATTTCCAGTCAATGCTCGGTTCAGTTGCTCCAGAGGACCGAGTCCATGCCATGTAAAAACAGACGTCCCTCACTTAAGAGTTGAGATTAAATAATATGTGAATCTTCCTTTAGAATCTGGATCGTTATACTTTGCCAGCCAAAAAGTCGAACTTATTCTTTTCAACAAAGATTTCAAACTATCAAAGGAAGTCCTCAGCTTGAAATCAATGCTTTGATTTTCAATGGTAGCCTTTGCCAATCTATCTGCTAACTCATTACTAATACATTTAAAAGTCTTTAATCCGGAAATCCATAATCCGGAATGATCTATAATCCGGACCTCAAAGCTACAAACTTTCTGCGCATGCGTCAATGCATAATGCGTTCACGCAGCGCGCAATACTGTTACGTATGCGCGTTTAATATATAACAGACGGTATAAGCTAAGCTAAAATTATCTAATTATCTATTTCAGTTAATGTTGCAGATTAAGTTGTTCCTTAATCTTCTAATAGGATCCGGCTTATTATTTTTTGCAGACTGTTAGAGCAATTTTATAAAAGTAAGCTTGAACTTTCGATTATGTCAAAAAGAATTTCCGATTCTGGAGCTGCCAAAGGATCTACAAAGCGAAAGCATGTTTCGATGTCCATCAAATAAAAAGTGGAATTGCTGCAAAAAATGGATAAAGGCATATCCTTTGTTTCTCTAACCATTCCGAAATCTGTTTATCAATTTCACGCTGCTCTGCGGGGGGGAACGTCGCGGCGCGCAATGAACTGGAACTTGATCTGACAGCATTATCTTTATCTTCAGGGCAGATGTTTTTATTTTATTCGGCTTATAATTCCTTACTAAATGTAGTATTTCATCTCGATGTACTCCATCTTTGACATGATTTAAATCAAATTCCTCGTCGTTATAAATATCACGAATACACATCAAATAGTTTTCTGGTTGCAATTTTCTAATTTCGACTATGCGTAATGTATGCTATACGCATGCGCGCGTTAAAAAGAAATGTTTACTAAAGTAAACAAATAAATATTAAGCCTTTTTTTTTTTTTTTGTAAATTTCGATATCCTTTAGATCATAATTGCTCTTTATTTCATAAATTACGGTTTCATATTTTTAATTTTATAATTTCTGCAAACCATCTTACCAGATTCAAACTGATGATCTGTAATCCGGACAAACCGATAATCCGGAATCGCCGAAGTCCCGACGAGTCCGGATTAAAGACTTTTGACTGTAGTTACAATGTGACTCTTCGTCCAAAAGTGTTTAATATCTCTGAAAGAGCTAAAAAATGAGCATACCTTTTATATGTTTAATTAAATCGTTCCTAGAACAAACGTCCGTATAATTGAAACAATAGCACTCTCGCAATGGCTATAGATTTCTACAGGATCTTGCGTAAAATTAGAAAAAAAAGCCAATATAAGCTAGTAACTCTGCCTGATAGACAGAGGCATTGTCAGAAAGTCTATATTTTCTTTGTGTGCTTAATTTCTCGCGTGAGAACGCGCAAGAGGCTGCTCTCATATGATCATTTAATTTAGATCCGTCTGTAAAAACAGTGTAGTCTGTCATATTCGGTAGGCTTTTATGCCAACTCAACTTTTTCAATAAAGCCGGATGATAGTTTGTAAAATTCTCTATTGTCTACCTTAAGTTACAGTTGAATGTTAAGAATCTTAAGAACTAGTAAGCGAATTATCGTTTGAGTTCGTGAGACAGTAATTAATAATTGGAAAGAGTTAAAAGACCCGACCCTTTATTATTCAAATAAGATTGAACAGAACTCCGTCTTGGAGTTTTACAATAAAGCCAACATTCGGGTTTGAACTTAGGAAACTAAGAATTAAAACTTAACTAATCTTAATTAAAAAGATGTAGCCAAATCTATCACGATTCTAATGGAGTTGGCCTCTTAACGCTAATTGGCTGCGAAGCTATCAAGGGCCTAAAGTACGGCCGAGCGTAATAATAGCTTAAGAGAGAGTAGCCTAAAAAGGCGGACGCGTGCTAGCCAGAAACTCTGGTTCTTCCTCTGACTAAGACAGTAGAACTTCGCGGTTAAATACCGCTCTTCCGCAATTTGCATTCAAACGTGATTCTAAAATTTTGTTCTGGCCAGAAGTAGTAAGCTGAAATTAAGGAGCGATAGGACAGGAAGTTTAACTCAAACTTTAACTGTTAGCTAAATAAATATAATCCTTACAAGTTTAAACCTTTATCTAAGTCTAAATCTCTAGCTGAGAAGATCTCACCGAAGAAATCGACAATTTCATTACCAGGTTTTTATGAACTTAGCCGGATGATAGTCTTAAAGATAGCATATTCTTTTTCCACTAAAATATCGATCGGAATACATCCAGACAAAATATGAAGAGCTACTGTCGAAACAGTTCTAAAACCCTTGGTAACCCCCAAGAGAGCAATTCTTTGAATTTGCAAAATTTTATTTCGCATTCGGACCGATCCAGTTCATCATTCTCCACATGCATACAAGATCTTTCTCTCTATAGCTCTTTTATATAGACTGAGCTTTCCATCAATTGTAACGCCCAAATATTTGATTGTCCTAGAAACTCTAATTCGTTGTTCATACAGTTTGCACCTAGGATGTATTGATCTGGTATTAGTTTTGGCAATACCCAAAAGAAAGCTCTTCTTGAAAGACCACTTCTCTCATCTTGAGTGGCGAAACTTAAAGCTTTATCAATAGTATGAACTGAAGGTGTATGTACGGATTCAGAAAAAGTGCCAGCAGTTAAAAGTTGAAGACCCGCGAAAATGTCCATCAGCTGAGAAGTTTCCTGGAGCTTTGGATCTCCTATAGAAGATTCGTGATGACTTTTCTTCCACCGCAACACACCTTCACAAGCTGACCAACAGCAAGAATAAGTTTCTGGTAATAATAGAATGTGAAGATATATTTAATAACCTGAAGAAACCTTTAACATCATGCTCCAAGAAATAAACGGTCAAGAACGTCTACTGCAGATACTGCTTATCTAAACCGGACAGGAATTACTGAGTCACCAGGAAAGAGTTGTTCTCAATATTTAAGAGCCATAGAACATTTCCATCATTATTTCTACGGCAGAAAATTCCTGCACGGTTAATGCATCGTTGATCTGGCTTTTAAATTTCAAGAATCCTGAAGACCAAATAGCCAGGTGGATACAGAGACTCCAAGAATATTACGTCATTATCCATCATCGGAAGAGATCATCACACGGAAACGCCGAAGCCCTGTCTAGAAGACCCTGTCCAGAAAGCTGCCGATATTGTTCCAGGATGGAAGCGAAATATGAGCTCCTTAATTCGGTCGCACGACAAGTTACTAAATCAACATCGGCTGATCGAGACCCATGGAGTGACAAAGAAGTCAGCAAAGGCCAGCTGGAAGGCGACGACATTAAAGCCATAATCGACTTAATGCAGTCTTCAAACAGAAATCCTACCTGGCAGGATATTTCAATCTATGGCCATATGACAAAACAATACTGGATTCTCTGGGACTCATTCCATAGTCCAGGGTTTCTTAAACTGTGGGTCGCGACCGCCAAGGGGGCCCAGGGACCTGCAGTTATGGCTCGCCAAAACTTTTAGCAGTTTGACTATTTCTTTAACGTATTATAATATACCAAATATTTTTACATAATGTATCTGAAAATAGATAAAGATAAGACGATACAGATAAAGAAAAAAACGAAAACGTTTCGACGCGTTCTTTCTATAATATAAATATTCATTTTTCTTGCTTTGCACGTGACATTGTCATTTCGTCTGTTACTTATTTAAAATTTTCCCATTGTTCTATGTCTTAAAATTAGAAATTAAAGTTAATGATCTAAAACTGCAATAGTATATCACAGTGCAAGTGAAAAAATTAACAATTTCACTCACGTGTGTGTCACATTTGCGCAATATGTATGGGATCCCACAATATTTTTGTAAATATTATGGGGCCCCGGGGGGTCGCGAAAAATTTTTTATGATAAAAAGGGGTATCGACTGAAAAGTTTAAGAAACCCTGCCATAGTCGAATTGAGTCTTGTACCGCAAATGCGAATCGGGTGATAAAAAGCCTTTTCCTTGCCAGCTGATACCCCGAAGATCCCCGATATCGGATGTTCTTAAAGAACTATGTAGCAGCCCTACAGGAGGCTACTTCTGAATAATGAAGACTTTGCAGAGAGTCTGAAAGCGCAAAAACACTGGAGATAACTGGAGTACCGCAAAAATTAGATGTGCAAAAGTGATGCCGATCTTGCGATATGTGTACGGGTCGGAATGGACCGAAGAAACGCAGCCGAGGCATGATGCAACGTTACAATTTAGGAGCACCTTTTGAATGTATCGCCTTTGACATCCTGGGACCTCTCCCACGAACTACTAATGGCAACAAATACATCATCATTTTCACTGATTACTTCACCAAGAGGCCTGAAGAATATCCTATTCGTGATATGGTAGGTAGCCACGGTAGCAAACGTAATCATACATCCTTGGATTTCCACTTTCGGAGTGCCGCTTCAGTTACATTCGAATCAAGGAAGAACTTTTGAATTGCCTGCAATAAACGAACTCTGCAAGCTACTAAACATTGACAAAACACAGACTACATCTTTACATCACCAGGCAGACGGCATGTTGTAGAGGTTTAATCCGGCCATAATAACCTCTCATTGGTGGTTTCTAATAACCAACAGGGCAGGGACAAGAAGTTACCTCTGTTTTTACTAGCTTATCAAAAGCAATTCAAAAGTGCTGTCCACTAGACTACCAGTTATTCCCAATTCCATAAGATACTCTTTGATCGTAACCTTCGCCTGTCTTGGGATCTCTTGCTTGGTCGCCCTCCGGATGCGCCTTCATCACCTGGAAAGTACATCCAAGTGCAGCTCGAAGTGATGCATAGTTTTGCACGAGAGCGAGTCAACTTGGCGACGGAGAAGATGAAGATCCGATACGACACGAAAGCTACAGGACATCGATTCAACGAAGAAGATAAGGTATGGTTGTGGAATACCATTCGACCGAAAGGACTCTCTCCTCAGCTGCAATCACCTTGAGATGATCTTTACACAGTCCTAAACAGGCTGAAAGACGTCATAGTTCGGATCTGTAAGTCATCAAATTATAAACCTAAAGTCGTTCATTAAGACAGGCAAGCTTCTTACTATGGTCATTGTAATTAGTGTATATAATGTAAATAGTGTAAGACCATGGTCCTATTTATTTCTAAATTTGTAAATCAGCGCATTCATTTATTCAGTATTTGATTTATTTTAAGTTACTTATTGCAACTAGTGTTTATGTTATTTGGTATTGTATTGTAATGTTTATCATTGCATCGATGCCTTAGTTTGTAAGTATAGCTTCCTGTCTAGGAATTGTACTGCCCGGAACGTGCAGTCCTTGGAAAGGAGACAATGTTACGAATTTTGAGCTTAGATAGGTAATTTTAATAGAATTATAAGTAAAATTGTTGTATTTTTCTGTGGAATGTAGAGCGATACAAATTTTAAACGAAAACTATGCCGAAAAAGGGTACAGGGGCAAGTGCATTTAACATTGAGTAAATAGATACCTCGGTAACTTGGCGAAATATCGCCAAGCTGACAACGGTTTTGGCGGTTTATCTTTGTTGCCAAATTTGGCGGCCTTTTGGTCAGGTCCCTGTATAACCGTAATAAGTATTGTAACTGAATTAATGTAATTGACCACTAAGTTAACTGTAACCGTAATTCTACCCTCGTGTTGCTTTCCAGTAATTTCGAGAAGCAGAAAGTCCGAGAAATATCTCAGCGGTCGGTTGAAAATTATAAAAGCTGGGAGAGAGAGCATCTGGAGAGAGAGTTGCTTAAGTATTATTATTGTGAGTTGTTTAGTTCCGCCTGAATGAGGATATACGAGTTAGCCTTCTCTTCAGATGCGCTTTGCATTGCGTTGTGTTTAACATTCTTAGTTGTTTGAAGTGTAACTACTGATTACACTATGTGATACTGTGAATACTTGTACGAAAATTTCTGTGGATTATTCCAGCTTTCTGAAATATTTCTTTTGATAAAAATACATTTTTATTAACCTATTATCGGACTTGTGCATTCAATCTATTGCGAACCCATACGCACGCAACGGTTAATCTTTGGATTATGGTAACTTGGCGATTTTTTGGCGAAAATTTGGCGACCAACCTTGCTATAGCAATCTGCTAGCTTTTTTCGGACGCCATTTTGTTTTCACGAAGTAAAAGCATGTTTTTTTTTTTTTTTTTTTTTTTTTTTTTTTTTTTTTTTAACTCAACATGTTTTTTTCCAACAATCTGCTAGCCGAATTACGCTTATGCTAGAACTTTTATGGAACAAAAGTGCTTAATCATGACGAAGATTAGGTGCGAGACTTTATCCATGTACACTGCTAAAGTCCTAGCTAATAACCTTTATCGCCTTACCAAAATATTGCCAAACTACCTGTTACCATATTCCAGAGATTAGCCCACGCAACTGTTAGAGTTCAGTGCTGCTGTTATTGATGACCTAAAGACGACTCAATCATTTGAAAATTTGAAAATTTGAATGATGTCCAAAACGCTATCTTGAGATATATTACTCAAAAACCAATTGATTTTTATCGGTCGGGGATTGAAAATATGCACATTAGATGGCAAAAGGTTGTTGATAACGAGGGTTGATTACATTATTGATTAAAAATAAAAACGTGTTAAAAATTTATTCGTGTGAATTTAATGTAAGAAAGCGACATTATTATTACATAAACACACCAGGTAAACTTCCTTATCCCGCCTTTATTTTCCCAATCATTGGTTGTAGTCATACATTCCAATTACAGAAATGCTTAAATATTCATGTTTTGGTAATGTCAAATTAAAAAATAGCAATGATAATTTTGGACAAATAACGAAATCTAACTTTTAGTGCGGTCTCCGGTTCCTGTATTTATATTTGGGGAAGTTTTAATACCCATTAAGAAAAAATAAAAATACAAGAATTGACTTCCGACGACAAAAATTGACCGGAATATTTAATTTCTAAATTTACAATGTTGGATAACACTTTCAACTTGATTTGAGGGATCGGTTAGTTCGTTAGAATAATTCCAATAAATAAATTTAAATAACTGTCCGTGCAAGGAAGCCATCTGATGTCCACACCAGATATTTGTTTCAATATTTACAATAATACGGATAATGAAATTTTTCCATGCATTATACATTTGTGTGTAAATTGTTTTCATATATCTCAATATATTCTTAATGTTTAACAGTTTCTGATAAATTATTTCGATTTATTAGTGCCAATATTCGTAACCAATAATGCCAACGAATAAAGCTCCTACCACTGTTATTATCATAATCGTAACGTAAGTAGGTACGGGGGCCGAGCCATAGGATGTCGTGCTGTTATTGCGATATTGATAACGATTGTAAGATTTGCCCCCAACACTTCCGATTTTGTTTTTTCCTATTTTGCTGCCTCCACCACTTCCGATTTTATTGTTTCCTGTTTTGTTGCCTCCACCACTTCCGATTTTATTGTTTCCTGTTTTGTTGCCTCCACCACTTCCGATTTTATTGTTTCCTGTTTTGTTGCCTCCACCACTTCCGATTTTATTGTTTCCTGTTTTGTTGCCTCCACCACTTCCGATCTTGTCCTTTCCTGTTTTGCTACCTCCACCAGTTCCGATATTGTTCTTTCCAGTTCCGCTTCCTCCACTAGTTCCGTTTTTGCTCTTTCCTGTTTTATTGCGCACAACTTTAATGGCACCATCCATAATTTTCATTTGCGACTTGGACCATGCTTCATCAGAAGTGAACTCTGAAGAACTCCCCTGTGTTTCATTGCGGGATGAAATGATTCTCGTGTCATTTTCTGAAAAAAAAATGAAATAATGTAGTAAGCATGAAAAAGAAAAAACTTTTATAATTGCATACCGTATTTTCTTGCGTATCCATCCCCCCAGTATTTAGTGCCATGTCCTGAAATTTTTAAAATTATTCGCGTAATTTTTACCTTCCGTAATACGCTCGGAGAAGGGCTTCCCTTAAATTTTAAAATGAACTCGTCCACGCAGTGATTGTATTAGTCTTACTACCAAACTACCGGCGAAGGTTACCCGGAACCTTTGTCTTCGAACTACTGAGCTTTATTCCAATCTATTCACGACCAGATCATTCACAAGAAAGCCAACACGAACTGATATTCAGTCTAACATTTGGCTCAGCCGCTAACTCACCTTCACACTATTTACAAATTATATGAGGACGAAGGAGCAGTAAAGGCAACATTAAAGAACGGGTGAAATTCACATTACAGGGAAATAGAAATAATAACGGATTATATATTGTAGTGTTATTATTATTATGTTTTCTTAACGGAATGTAGGTTTCTTTTTTAAAAACAACTACTGTGATAGTTACCTGTAGTTTATCCATAATTACTTTTCACTTGTGGTGTTACCGTGTTTAACGTGAATTGAATCATTGGTATAATTTCTCCTTTTCGATTTTCCTGCTATGAGCTGAGCGAGAAAAGGCGGGAAAATACGGTGTATTAATACTAACTAATTAGACGGAACATTAGAAATACAAGGTGTCCCACTCGAAAGAGGCCCCGGGAAAAGTATGATAAAAATCTCATAACAGAAGAAATAAAAATCCCATAACATGCCTTTGTGTTTGAGAAGTGAAAGTGCGTTAGAAAACATGCTGGAAATGACCTTCTCCCACCTGTATGCACACGATGTTGCATTTTCGTGTATGTTGATCCCAGATTACAGGTGAGAGAGTGACGAAGCGTAGTTCCACTTCTCAGGATACGTAAACTAACGAAACACAAGTTTATGGATTACTAACAACCACCATGCAGCCATCGAAGAACCCTCACAGAAATGTCACGTCACAGAAAATGGGTGTGTTTTGTACATTACCACAGCGGAGCATTATTGTCACCAGTAATATTCTAATCTTTATTGTCACCATAACCATAATCTTTATTGTCACCATTCACCATAATCATAATCATTCTTGTCACCATAATCATAATCATTCTTGTCACCATAATCATAATCATTATTGTCACCATTGTAATCTTTTTACATTATTGTCACCAGTGAAGTGTACCAGGTACTTTTTCATAAATCTATGAACCAGTTGGATCATGAAGCTTACATTTGACTTACCATAAACATAAAAGTGGATTATCCGATCCTCACCTCAGAGTAGAGGTAGGTATCACCGGAGCCATAGGCTAATTAGACAACAAATCTATAAAAGTGCTAAAGGAAATCTTATTAGTGAATTTAGTAAACCCAGCACAAATTTTGAAGTCTTCTGACCTGAAGATAAATTGGCCTTACCAACATCTTTATTGAATTCTATTTACAGTATATATGTTACCGTGAAAGACCGAAATTGGAGAATGTCGACTTTCACCGGAGAATGTCAACATTTACCAAATACGTCGGTGATTGATCGAATATTACATTCTTATACATTCGGACGCTCACCGGTGTATGTCGACAATCACAGATATGCTCTGGTGTAGTTCGAAAAGAGAGGAGTATATGTACACGCTGCCATTCCAAAAGGAAGTGTTCCACAAATAAATGCCGTTGTAAAAGCAAGGGCCTCTTGTGCAATTCAAAGTGTCATAATAGTTTACGTTGTTGCAATAAATAAGATTTGAATCACATAATTGAATAACTTTTTTAACTTCTATTATTTTCCTTTCTCGTTTTTAATGCACTGCGTGTTTTAAGTTCGTATGTTCTTAAGTTCTTATTTTAAGTCTCAAGTGCGTTTTTTAGCGACTGACTGACGAAGAAGAAAATATAATGTTGTTATATGTTCAACATTCACCATTACTACATGGTGAATGTCTACATTGACCGGTGTAAGTCAGAAATAAGAGTATTTGGAAAATATTTCGGACATACACCAAGCGACTATGTGAATGTTGACATTCACCGGTGAAAGTCGACATTCTCCAGATTTCGGTGTTTCACCGTAACATATACATTGATCCAATTGCATACTATAACATTGCTTCAAATCTTAGAACAATACAATTATTAGAATTCTTAAAAGGATTATATAATGAAGAGTACTTTTGTTACATAGATTCAAGAAGATCGAAAATATAATATAACATTGGATAATATTTTAAAACGCAAGAGAAAGGATGCAAATCATGGGGTAAATAATAATACATATAGATACATACAATATTGCATATATATAAATATTCATAAGGCAATTGAAAACAATGTCTCACTGAAGGAATTTTAATCAGTACAAAGGATGCTATGTATTTATACAGGGTGTCCCAAAACGACGGCATAAACTCTGCACAGCTAGATTCCTCGTTTTGTGTACATAAAAACTGCCCAAAGAAGCGTTCCTGTACGATCCATAGTTTACGAGAAAAAATATGAAAAACAAAGTATGACGTCACTGCCGGTGCAAGAAAAAAACACTTCATTGGACATATCAACAACAGTATTGGCATATCTTTTCAGACGATAATGTTTAAAACGTTCTCCGCGCATATCACGTCATGCATGCGCGCGCGCCATGTATCCAGATGGTGTCCGCCGATAACATCGCGGCAAAAACATCGCGGATGAAAACGTCGCGGAGAAAACAACGCAAGGCGAAAACGTCGTGCTACAAAACATCGTGGGAGAAAACATCGTGGTACAAAACATCGTCGTCGAAAATAAAGCGGTCCAAAAACTTCGCAGTTTAAAATCATCGCCGTCGAAAATATCGTGGTAAAAAATAAAGTATCTACAAATCATCGCATGACGATAACATCGCAGACATGCTTTTTTCAGGCTTTAATAACTTTAAATGGATATTCCCATAATGATTTGTGAGCGCAAGATGTAAAGAAGGATAATTTTTACTTTCATATTTTATTAAATATTAAATTTTGCTGAGAAAATAAGAAGAAAACTTAAGCATAGAAATTAATGCAACTTATAGCACTTAATAGAATTTAAATCGACAGTTAACTAAACAAAGACCATTAATAAATCATTTTATAACTATTTTATAGATAATTTTTCATAAAAGTATAATCTATTAAGTTGCATTTAATTTTCTATGCTTAAGTTTCCTTCTTACTTTTCAGCATAAATTTTAGTTAATAAAAAAAAAAATGTGAAAGTAAAAATTATCCTTCCTTACATCACTTGCGCTCACAAATCATTATGGGAATATCCATTTACAGTTATTAAAGCCTGAAAAAAGCATGTCTGCGATGTTATCGTCACGCGAGTGATTTGTAAATACTTATTTTTTACACGATATTTTCGACGGCGATGTTTTAAACTGCGAAGTTTTTGAACCGCTTTATTTTCGACGACGATGTTTGTACCACGATGTTTTAGAACTGCGATGTTTTCTCTTTGGGATGTTTTCTCCCACGATGTTTTGTAGCACGACGTTTTCGCCTTGCGTTGTTTTCTCCCGACGATTTCGTCCGCGATGTTTTCGGCTGTAACCATCCAGATATAGTGACAACACCAATGAACTTAGTTGCTCGTCTGCATGCTGCTTGTACCCGCGATGCTGCAAGGTGTGATGACAGCCATTCCACGGCGTGCTCAAGCCTGCCTCGACATGCACGGAGGACACTTTGAACATCTGCTTTAAATTGTGCATATACTGCAGTCGATATGTTCAACAAAGTGTTTTTTCTTGCACCGGCAGTGACGTCATACTTTGTTTTTTGTATTTTCCCGTAAACTATGGATCGTACAGGAACGCTTCTTTGGGCAGTTCTTATGTACTCCCAACGAGGAATCTAGCTGTGCAGAGTTTATGCGGTCGTTTTGGGACACCCTGTATAAGTACGAAGTTTTACATTGATCATTAGAAAAACACTGAGTGAAAATTTATACATTATTCATATAACATACAGTGGATGGACAAAAATATGGAAACACCTTTTGAAATGCATGTTTAAAAAAAAAAGATTGATTTTAATGAAATATGTAGGTGGCGCTGACGTTTTTGACTACTGACGCCACCTATACAACTTCGTAAATGTACTAAACAGTTCAGTTGTTGTCGGAGTACTGTTATGTGGGGTTGCCATTGCATTATGTCAGAGTTAACAGACTTCGAACGTGGGCAAATTGTTGGAGCACGTATGGTAGGTGCTTCCGTAAGCAAGGTAGCCGAGGTGTTGGTTGTTTCAAGAGGAATGTATCGAAGATTATTCCGCATATTTGAAAAGCGGGAAAACATCATTGCTAAATCACAGCGCGGACGAAAGTGTGTCCTGAGTGATCGTGACAGACGATCATTAAGGGCAATTGTGACGAAAAATAAGAAGACCACAGCTGCAAAAGTTACTGCTGAAATGAATGTGTGTTAGCGAACCTGTGAGTACCAAAACAATTAGAAGGAAGCTTCATAAACAGGGAATTGCTGGCCGTGCTGCAATTGAGAAGCCACTCATCAGTGATGCTAATCCCCGTAACAGGAAAAGTGGTGTTTTAAGTCATAAAGCCTGGACTATAGAGCAGTGGAAGCGAGTAATGGTCTGACGAGTCTCTTTCACATGTTTCCCACTTCGGCCGAGTTTACGTCTGGAGAACGCCATCTCAAGCCTATAATACAGACTGCTTGTTGCCAAGAGTGAAACATGGCGGGGTTCTGTTATGGTTTGGGCAGCCATATCGGGGTTCTCTGCTAGCCCCATGATAACTGTGTCCGGGAGCATGACTGCCAAGACTTATGTGAACATTTTGGCCGATCAAGTTCATCCCATGGTACAAACTTTGTTCCCCGATGGTGTGGTGTCTTCCAAGACGACAAAGCCCCTAGATTCACACAGCTGACATTGTCCAGGACTGGTTTTCTGAGCACGAGGATGAGTTGTTCCATCTCCCCTGGCCACCACAGTCACCAGACCTGAATATTATCGAACCTTTGTGGTCTACATTGGAACGGAAAGTGCGTTCTCGTTATCCACCGCCAACATCGTTATCTGAACTTGCCACCGTTTTGCAGGAAGAATGGTATAATATTCCCTTGGCAAACATACAGGAACTGTATTTATCCATTCCGAGAAGACTGCAAGCTGTTTCGGATGCCAACGGGTTTCCTACACCATATTACGTAAAGAAACATTTTTTTTAAAGGTGTTTCCATATTTTTGTCCAACTCCTGTATCTTCATTATGGTAGATATATTCCATTAGCATAGACAAAATTGTCCGCCCCTTATCATTTAATACGAGTTTACGTAGCAGTTCAAAAGATAAATCAGGATTGAGTAGTTTTGCGTTAAGTGGTAACGCTTGGGCACTCTATTCATATGAACAACGGAGCAACTTGCCACACAGCTGTTGCCACACATGAACGCGGTGGAATCACTTTTTGCATTTTTCCAGACTTCATCTCCTTTCAGTTTTTTTTTATGCGGTCGTGTTAACCCTTTGCGGCACATTGTGTCGGGTCTGGACACACCTAAAATTTTCCTTCTGTACGCACAGAAAAATTGAATGAAAAAAGGATTTATGGGTTACTCTGAAGCTTCTTTATTTATAGTAGATGGCAGCTCAACACAAACCAGTCCATATATTTTAGCCATGTTTAGTTTTTTTAAGACCCTCATTTTTCAAAGAAATCTTCCAGATATTTTTAGGGTATAAAAGGAACTGTTTGAAAAGTTGCTATGTTATGTTTTTGGGTGTATACTAATCTCCTTATACTATATTAGTTTTAAATTTTTAGCTTGAAATCTTTCCTAAAATCAAACTACGTATCTCGCATAACTCAAAAACGAGTAGCCTCAGAACGTTGAAATTTTGTATATAGGACTGCTATAACATACAGACGTGCACCTCGTATTTTGGTTGCAATCGGCCGCACCAAACGCATATAAATATTATATATATCCACTCTGTTACCCGCCTCAGTGATCTCAGTTTCTTTACTCTTATATGTTTGTTAATTGTACATTTTTTGCTTTAAAAATGATTGAATTATGTTGTTTTTATCTTCCGGTTAAGGTTTTTATGCCTTTAGTAAATCTGTATGCAATATTTTCAGAATTATCAACAATTTT